GCCGCGGCCCCGGCCGCCGCCCGCACCTACCCAGCAGCTTCTCGGCGGGCCGCGAGAGCTGCGCGCCGCAGCCCAGCCAGTGGCGCAGCCGCTCCACGTTGAGCCCCGCCACCTTCTCGCCGTGCGCGTTGGGCAGCGGGTCGAGGCAGCCGAGCTGCTCCAGGTACTTGCCGTCGCGGGCGCGCTTGCTGTGCGCCGCCACGATGCGGAAGAAGGGCCGGTTGGTGCAGCCGCCCAGGGCGAAGCGGATCACCACGTGGCCGCCCCGGTAGCTCCGCAGCACGCGGCTCCCTGCGGAGAGAGCGCGGGGCGTCACGGGGCGGCGGGACCGGACCGGACCGGACCGGACCGGACGGGACGGGACGGGGCGGGCGGCACTCACCCAGCTGCACCATGGCGGCGGCGGGATGACGTCAGGGGCGTGCCGGAAGAGACGGCGGCCGCCAGGCGGCGCTAGCGGAGCGGCCCTGATGGCGGGGCCGGTGGCGGGCGGGCGGTGGCGCTCCCGGCCCTCCGCTTTGGCTGGTGGCAGGCGCCCTCAGGCCGCAATCCCTGCTTTCTGCACTTGTACCCGAATTACACGCCACTGATAAGTACATGCTTAAAAAAGTGTGAAAACTTTGTTTAAAAACTTGCTTAAATTACACTTAAGTAATAAGAACCTGCTTGCAGGTATACTTCATTTCTTTAAGAAAGACTTGGGCAGCACCAAGAAGATGGGAGAGGTCTCAACCTCGAGGAATCTCCTCAGGTGGGGTCCCAGCCTGAGGCTTCCCCCCTGCACCCCGCTGCTTCTGAGGAGAAAGCAGCTCTGACGCTGCCAGACAAGGGTTCATTTAAAACCCTAACGCAATGGGGACGTGGTCAGGGTGCTGCTCTTTTGACTGCCCCCCGGTCCCTGTGCCGTGGCACCACCTCGCGTGTTCAGCACTGCTGCCCCTGGTGGGACCCTGACCCTCCTCCCGGCCGCTTGGTGACGGGCGGCAGCTGCGGGCCCCGGGGCYGGGACGAGCGGCAGCTGTGGAGGGCTGGGCGCGCGCTGCGGCCGGCCACCTGTACGTCACCTGCAGCCCTGGTCAGTTGCGAACCGCCAGTGATTTATCTAATCCTGGTAGGTGCCACCAWCCTGATTTCTTCTACTCGGACGTCAACATAACAGTCCTGAAGCCTGCATCCCGACAGGGAGATAAGGCTAGTGCACTAGCCAATGGTCCTCTGAAATGAAAGGATGACTATAAGTCAATCACCTTAGCCTATAAATACAGGGACAKCCCAAAAGCCCCTTGAGCTCTCCTGGCATGGCAGCCGGTTGCACATCAGGATCTCCCCTTGAGCAGGGACGCCTCTGAAGGTTGCTCCTCAAGGYTGAGAGATGCCTTTCCGCAACAGATTTGTGGTAAGTGAATATAGCGTGCTTTCTTTAACTYTACTTATAACTGTGTACAGAAACCCGTAGTCATAAACAATTGACCAGGTCTGGGACTAGGATTGGATCCAGCGGCACCCAGACCCCTCTCAGAGGGAGACTGGGAAAGCGAGTGGGTCCAATCTGAACCTCGTGACTCAACGGGAGGGTATCCAGGATAATTGTATATTATTTATTTATCATTATTTACTCCATGCAGTAAATAATAAGCAACCTTGCCATAGAATCAGGTAAAATCATTGTCCATATTAATCATGGAATCACAGAATGCTTAAGGTTGGAAGGGACCTCAGAGGTCATCTAGTGCAACCCCCTGCTCAYGCAGGGGGCCYGCGGGGCCAGCTCCGCAYGGAGGCCCCGGGCGGCCGCACCAAAGGCCGCAGGGACCCCGGGAAGCCCATGGAACCTCAGCTGTGACCAACGTCGGAGCGCTCCGAGCCTTGGTTTTGTCTTGGGCTCATCTCTAAAGCAAATATTTGTCTTTATTTATTTATTTATTTATTTAGGTAGGTGGGTGGAATGCCCTGAGCTTTTTGCATAAAGCCCCCAAATACAGTAATTTGGGGGACAAAAACCCCGAATACAGTAATTCTCCTCATTCGGAAGGAACAAGGCAGCTGGGCAAGTTTATGCCCTGGTCGCTTCCCATCTAATCAGTTAGAAAGAAGCTCAAGGGGCCCAAGGGTGTGAGCACGTTCAGTATTTACCTACTGAATATACGTCTCGTCACGTCCTTTTCCCCCTCGGTACTGCCAGYAACGACAGGGACCGCGCTCTGCGGCGGCCGGGGGGGCCGCTTTACCTGGCCCGTGTTTCGGGAGGCCGGGCGAGGAACGAGGGCCGCGGCGCGGAGCCCGCCGGGGGGGCGGCTGCTCGGGCTGCCGTTCCCGGCTCGGGCAGCTAGAGAGCAGTGCAGGGAGCGCGGAGCCGCCTGCGCGCGCGGAGCGGCGGCTCCGCTGCCCGCCTCGCCCATGGCGGAGACCAAGATCATCTACCACATCGACGAGGAGGAGACGCCCTACCTGGTGAAGCTGCCCGTGCCGCCCGAGAAGGTCACTCTGGCCGATTTCAAAAATGTCCTCAGCAACCGGCCCGTGCACAGCTACAAATTCTTCTTCAAGTCCATGGACCAGGATTTCGGGTGAGGCGCCGGCTCGGGGGTCCCGCGGGCCGCGCCGGCCGCTGCGGGCGCCCCGGAGGCGGCCGCGGGCCCCGCTCCGCCGCTAGGCCGCGGCCGCCGGCACCGGCGGGAGCCGCCGCTAAAATGGCGGCCCGGCCCGACCCGAGCGCCGGCGGCGGCAGGAGCCGGGCGGGCCGCGGGGCTGTGACAGCTCCTCAGCGGGGGCCCCTCGGTCGCGCCGCCGCCTCGCGGCTCGTTTTTCCCGAGCCGCCCCCATGCCGGCCTGGCGGCATGGATGGCTAAGGGAGCCGGCCGCGCTCCGCCGGCTCCCCGCGCCCCGCCGCCGCGGCCTCCAGTGGTAGCTGTCACCGCGCGGCCCGCGCCGCAGAGCCGCCCTGCCCGCGCAGCGGCTCCCCGGGGAGCCCAGGGGAGCCGGGCTCGGGGTGCGTCGGCGGATGGAGCCTTTGGGAGAAGCCAGAAGGCCTCCGAAAATCTCTTTGCTTTTCTGGGTCTGCAGTGGTGTGCCAGCGCGCAGTGGTGGAAACGATAACTTCTTTATCCGCCACCGGTAGCGTATCCCGGTATCCTGTGCACTGGGAACGCAGCGGCGAGGGTCCGTGCTGCCAAATGCCCTTTGTGATCGTTTATTCTCCATTTCTTAATGTGCCTAAGAGATCATCGGCATCGCTCTGCTTTACACAGCCCAACGTGGCGTCCGCGTCGCCAGGGTTATTTACCCTTGTAGTAAAATAAAGCCATAAAACTCCCTTTGACAGTTTGCCGGRAAGTCACTTTCAGAACGTATTTGTCCCTTTGTAGTAAATCACTTCTCTTTGTACTCRCATCTGTCATGGGCAAGACCATCTTTACATGTAAAGTGCCTTGCCAGAAAGAAAAGAGCCGGTTTGGGAAAAGTATCACAGACTTGGTGATAAAATAATGCTACGATTAAGGTATGAAAGGGATGTTTGGTGCAGTATATTCTCCTACCTGTCTTTTTACACGCTATATAGACTTTTTCTTTTTTTCTTACTTCAAGCGTGAGACCYGAAGCCTTTAATTGTTTCTTTATCCCTGGTGGAATGAGACATTGTTTTGTTGACGTGGATTTCTGAAGTGTCGAGTTGTTAGTATTGGCGTGTTATTGCAGGAACATTCGTGCATTGGCCTGTTTTAGTGGCGGTGGAAACATTTGGGGAGAAACAACTACAGGAACTACTTATTTTCAAAATAAGGTATTTGAAACTAACTATTCCTATTTTTTTYCCCTCAACCCTAAAGTGACAGGGGCATAAGCCCCATAGGAGTCTTAAAATGACAGTTCTGAGGTTTTTATGGAGCCACCTCATCAAAGGACGTTTGATTTATCGAGGAAGGTTATACAGTCAATGCCGCTATTGCAGAAAATTCAGTTCTGAAAGGACACAAACTGCTGAGGGGTTGAGGTGTAACGGGGATATATTCTGCATGTTTTGGGTTGTTCTTGGGAACAACATAGATAATGTGAATCCTGCAGTGGATTTCCTCGTCAGTCTCAAAACCAACGTGAAAAATACCTGCTCTTCTTTCCTTATCTAGAAATGATGGAAGGTGAAGAGTTGCAGGTGGATGATTAGGCTTAAGGTCTTTAAATGCTATTTCCCCTATTTTTACAGTAGCCTTAAACATGCCTGCAGCACTGCTGGTATTCAGAGCTTTGTCGGTATTAAAATATATAAAATATAAAGCTATAGAAATGGATGGTATAGGTATGTTCCTATAAAGCTATAAGAATGGATGGTATATAAATTCATGCTGAGATTATTTGATCATATAGAACCTACCTACTTTTTATGTCCATCCCTYCAGCATAACAAATTATGTAGTTTGGAAGAGGTTGCATGCTGTTAAATGCCTACATGCAAACCTATAGCTATAACATATAGGTATAACATACGTGATTCCATTTGCAGGATTAGTGCTGTATTTCATGGCCCAGCATAGGAGTAGAAATGTGAAAAGAAAATGAGCTTCGATGAGGGGCCCTATATTAGCTAAAAACGTTCCTCAAAACTATACAAATAAACAATGCCTACTTTTTACTTTTCCCCTGAGTGTTTATTCTGGCCATTTCAAAGCACAGATATTTACTATTTTGTTTTCTCCTCCCTTTATCACCTGATTACCAGCCAAGGAGCCAGGGTACCTCTTGCTGACATTAGGGAGATCCTGCTGGGTCTTCCTTCTCCTTTTTGCTCGAGCTATTTTGCATGTGTGTGGTGCTAAAAAGCTCTGTGAAATATTTTCTGGAGTTAAAATAGTAAGTTTATGTTTTAAACCCTTTGCTAAAAGCTTCCAAATGTCTAAAACCACCCAATTTACCCTTCAGTGGTGTTAGATGTGCAGACTGGGTTTTAAGCTTGGTATACCTTGACAAAATAACCTGCATGGACATAACCCAGTCCTGTCTTGTGTCCCTTTTTATTCCGACCCAAACTGAGAGGTGACCGTAACAGACCTACCTAATTTCTCCCTTATGTGTCTGAAAATGTTCTTCAAAGGTTGATTTTTTTTTTTTTTTATTTCTGTGTCTTCTGTAATCAGCACTTAGACCTAAACTACACCAACATTTTGTTTTTTAACGTAGTGTTCTGTTGTTCTATCTCCTGTTCCTCACGTTGCTGTGCACAGCTATAATTTGGCATGCTCACTGCTGCTTGGCAGGGTGGKTTGCAAATCCCAGGACGGAGTGAAAAGCAGTTCTTGTGTTAGGAAAGCAAATGTTTTCCTGCAAAAGCRGAGCCTCCTTGAGAAGCCAGTGCTGAGGAACTGCCTTTGCAGATCTACACATGTTGTTGTAATTAAGGCACAGCCTTTCCTGGATCCTGAAATAACGTAATAAATAATTCTGCTCAGCACAGTGTTTGCATTGAATTGTTTCCTACTGTGGAACGCTGGAGTTCCTTAGGACTGGAGCAGAGCTGCATTTGGGGCATTGGGCCATGCCAGGTGGTGATATGAAAATGAAACAGGTCTTGGTGTTCCTGTGCGGACTGACTAGCTCTGCTGCTTGGAAACTGCTGGGGAAGATTATTGTAGGAGTGGTGTATTTCCCTCTGCACTCCAGCTATGTTTTAATTTACTAGAGTGTCTTGTGATGCTAAGATTATACTGTCACTAAAACTGTACAAAACAGGTATAATGTCTCAATAATACCATTGATAAAGTCACTTCATCATTGATAAGGGACTTTAACTTGCTCTTTTTCTGACAATATTATTTTGATATAATTTTTTTTTCTGTGTCATTTCCTTCTTGATAGTGACTTCTGCATCAGCTCTTGATAGTGTGGACACCTCCCTTCTGAATACATAGGCCTTCCCACCRCATTTGTGTGGGTATTGTGTGTTGTTTAAGATGCAGGTGTTTAGCTGCGTTCTAACTTAGACTCGACTCCTGGCAGGGGTTTGTAGCTTCTGATTTTCTTCTAGCCAGTGGCAGATTAAGGTGGGACCTGGCAAGAGCTCGTTCCATAACGTGGTAGTATCTGGCACTTGAGGGGAGGTGCTGTTTGTGACAGATGTTTTGTAAGGGGGATCGTCAGCTGCCCTAGTGACTTRCAGCAACTGATGCTCTTCTCTCCGGGGAAGAGCTTAGAAGTCACTTATCACTGATTATACAGCCACACATCCTTGTAATCGTCTGTGTAATGCAATTTTGTTGATTCTGTGGTGATTGAAAAGTGAAAAATAAAGATATAGATAGCTGATGCTTAGGCTCTCATCATTAGAACTCTGATAGCTTCATAAACAGTGTAGGATGATAKTGATTCATGTTGAATCTACGTGACTCATCTCACATTAAGAATTCYTATTGGTCTCCTTTTAAATGTTAAATATTTCCATAGCTTTTCTATATTGTGTTATAAAACTGTTATTAGTAACTTTCAAAATASAGAGCTATATATGCTCTATATGATTTGGGCATTCCCATCAGATACCTGTTTTAAGTTTGCTATAAAATAGCCTCCGTTTTACTGTTTTGTCTCTAGTTATAGTCTCTATAGTTATTTTGTCTCTATAGCATCTAGTATGGGATGCTATAGGGCATAATTACAATTTGATAGGTTCAGAGGGAGAATTGTCCCACCTCAAATACGTGGACTGGCCATGTCCTCTATACAAAAGCTCATGCTGATAAATATGTTCCATACAGTGTTGCTCTGATTTCCTTTGTGCTGTTTAATCAAGATGAGTGCAGGGCAGGAGCTACTGATAATGTCTTTCAGTACTGGAAAATAAAAGAACAGGCCTGTCTTGGGCTCTGTAATCTTCATCCATCAAATACCAGGGTATGTCTCTTCTGCTCTCCTTCTGGATGAGGTTCAAGTCCTCATTCTTTCCATTGTGTGAACTAATACTCTTTTGATTATACTTCTTTAGGGAGTATTTGAGGAGTGGCTTTTTTGGCATTCTTTTGGTATCAGTAACAAAACTTCCTATTAAGCTGTAGGTTTAGGAGCAGCTGTTTCTTGCACAGAAATTGCTTGTCTTGATACCTGGTGTGTTGAAGACGAGCAGRCAGCTGTGATTTAAAGCTTGGGGTTATGAGCTGAACAGGCCTGTTTTTAAGTGGAAGAACAATATGAGAAGCACTAATTTGGGCYGAGCTCTGGGCTTGGGAAGTTGTTCCTGTCCTCAGCCAGGGACAAGGCAGCAGCAAGTGGTTTGCAGGTGGGTCCTACCTTTTAGGTGGGCTCCGTTTGCTAGGCAGCAATTAGGACATAGACTCTTTTGATGGTGGGGAGAGGAAGGAGAGGTAGGGATTGCACCAAAGATTTTAATAAGGTATTTTTGCTGGTATTTTTAAGGAGACCTCCCAAGACTACAGGCAGCATGAAAGGAAGTGTGCCTCCATAGTTATTTGAAAGCTGAACAAGCAGGTGAAAGAGGCTGATATCGTAGGTCAGTTACAGGTAGGAGTTTGTTTATTTTTTTATGTTGAAACAGAATAAAATGAAGTGGTTCACGTTTGCATCAGAA